GGGAAGTTTGTAAAGCCTGAAGAGCAACTGGGACAGAAGACTGGGCACTCAGAAGGGACTGACCAAGGCCCAGAGCAGGTGTGCTACCTGTTCTAATGCAAGCTATTACGTTGCCAACAGAAACACAGTAGGCCTTCTTTCCTGGTTTTAAAATGTATGTATTACCTATATAAGTTATGATAGCATTTAGAAACAAAAATGGGATCATATGAATGAAGAAATTATTTTTAAGGGTTTAACAAAACTAAGGAAATCCTACTTGTGGTGACAACACTGTGTTTTACCTGCGTGTAATAGAAAAGATAATATTGTAGGACTAAAGGCAATGGGAACGAACTGAAACAGGAGGTTTGGAGAATATCAAGAAATGCTTTTTCACTGTGAGGGTGACCAAGCACTAGCACAGATTGCCCTGAGAGGTTGTGGATTCTCCGTCTTTGGAGACATTCAAAAATCCCAGTCATAGTCCTGGGCAAGGACTATGTCGCCTCGGCTCTAGGTGACCCTGTCTGAGCAGGGCATTTGCCCAGATGACCTCCAAAGGTATTTTCTGACCTCACCCCATCTGTGATTCTGTAAGTTCACAGCAACCGGTACTGCAGAAATCTGACAGATAAACTGACATGAGCCTAAATTTAGCTGTCAGATATATATATATAGATAGCCAAAGTAATATACAGATATCCCAATATCTCCTTTCTTCCTGAGAGGGAAATTTTGCTCAGAAGGAATATAACCTTGGATTCTTGATGTCGTTAACTCTAGGACATTTTGCATATAACTTTTTACATGCTCAGTAGATTTAATGTATTAATAACCTATTGACCAAGGTGAAAACTGGAAAGAACTTGCTACTTTTATTCCCACCATCTAAGGAAAAATACTGATGTCAGATTATAGACAAAAAGATCTACGGAGACTTCCTTTTACAGGATGTCTTGTAATTTTATATCTTGTAATTTCTTAAGCCAAGGTATTAAAATAAATAATGGTAAGAGGTTGTAGAAAGGACTTCAGATTTGAAGTGTTGTAACAAGAGAAATTTTTTAAGAAGCAGACAAGTGTTTTCAGAATACAGCTGAGTCAGCAAATATCCTGTTTAATTTTGTGCATTTGTGTACAAACTTAGCAAAACCCAAATTAAATGACAAAGAAAACTAACAGAGCTCCCAATGAAAGTTGATACCTAATGGGAAGTAAAAAATCTCCATTGCTTCCAAAAGCCTGTCTCAAGCTTTAGTTGCTCAGGGAAAACTCCAGCTAGTCTTGATGAGGAATGTATTTGCTGAGATTTTTATCTCATATTATTAAGCAGCTTTAAAATGCAAGTTCATATTAAGTATAATTAGAAAGTGTCTACTTTTGGGAAAAAAAAAACAACTGTTTTGGAGCAGCAATGAAAGAAAGCAAAACCGACGCCCATCATTTTTATGAGGTGCTTCTTCTGCCTTAGGAGGTTTAGGACACGGTGAAATTACCCTGGTTATGATTTGATGGGAAAAAAAATCTTGGGAAGCAATGAGTCCCCTCCAACAGAAACCCACCCAGCCTCAGGGAGCAGCTGAGTTCTGCAGAAGGGGGTAGATGTGTGCATGTACAGCGCTGGCACCCTGACCTGTCAGGCTTTGTGTGTACTCAGTACGCACTGCTAGTGGCCATCAGCCCCCTCAGCAGCAGGACATGCAGTGACCAGCTGCCAGTGTCATAGGCCACTGCACAAAGCAGTTGTCAGATCTTAAGCAAAGTGACATCTGAGCAGTGATGTGGAACACTCTAATTTGTCAATTTCCCCCCCAAAGCATACATATTTAGATGTCTCCCTATATGTTACTCCAAAAGGGCCATTCATTTTATGAACAGATGCATCAAGTAAGTACACGAACAAAAAAGAGAGATCTGTGAGGATACGCATGTGTTCTTCCGTGAAAGGAATGGGTTTGCTTCCTTCAGATTCCAATACCAGCATCCTCCCTGTGTAGCGATGTCTTGGTGCAGAAGAGCGAGATGAACAAACTTCCACATTCATCTGAAACAGCCCCTTCCAAAATGAGTTCTGCTTCATATATAAGCTGTCAATCTCTTTTTCAGAAGCAGAAGATGCATCGAAGTCAAGATGCTCAGAGGTGATCTATCCCAGGCTAAATTTTTGCATTGAAAATATCTTTCCTCATAACTCAGATCAGTAACCTGTTTCATTGGTAAACTTTCATTTGGACTTGTTAATGCATTTGGCACCAATATGTTCCTTTTTCGATTTGTTATAGATTGCCTTGGTTAGAGTAATAATTGCACAGTCAAAAAAAGACAAGTTTACTTTGCAGATGGGTAATATATGGCAAGACTTTGGTCAAAAGGGTTTGAATTTGACATAGACAAGTTATATGCAAATATATGTATGTCATACTTTTTTCTTTTTTGGTTAGTATTTGGTTTTAGAAGGAATTTCTGCAACTGAAACAGTGCTAAAAATATCCTACAGATTAAGGTTTATTACGTGCATGTGTTGATTTTATGTGTATGTATCAATGAGAAACTGAAATAATGAAAACTTCCAGCCTCTCTCAGCTATTAATCCTTAAAGCTACGTACTGCTGCTTCCTCTTTGTGTTTGAAATTTTGAAAAGCAGTCTAGGGGATTTAGACACATATTATCTGTTAATTCTAGTGGCAGACATTTATCTAAATCCTCTTCGTAGATTTTTATTTTTTAAAAATTATTCAGGCTTCCTTTTATCTGCTCACTTTCCCTTCATAATGGCATTGGTTAAGCACTGTCTGTGTTAGAAGTGTTACCTCTCGGTCACTGAAGAGGATTAGACAGCTTTATACCTAAGGAACCTAAAGGGTGATACAGCTAGGAAAGAATTATGCAAGTATATCAACTGCACTGTATTTTTTTTCAGAAGAGACTGTTTCTTCAGCCTGGTGCACTGGCTGCCTCATGTATCCTGGGTTTCTTCTAGCATTAAAATAATGCTAATAATAAAAAAACCTCCCCAGTTGTTATTAATATTAATAGCAACATTATTTGTTTTTAAGGAGTTTGCTCTTTTTCTCTCTTTCAGTCCATCTTAAAGTTCCTCTTGAAAGATTTCAAGTAATAAAAAATAATCTTTTCCTATTCTTTACACAATTACAATTTCTTGGAGGAACTAAAAAAATTAAAATCTCCCTTAGGAATAACCTCTCCTTTTAAGAATTTTCTATCTTTTATTTCAGCCATTTTATATCCAGAAGACTGCAGCAGTAGAAAAGAGAGGTCAAAAGGTGGAAACATCAATGCTTATGTAATCCCCAAAGAGGATTATTCCCCTCACAAAAATGGCTAGTATGACATGTGAAATTAAGGATATTCATTGTGTGTCTGCACATCACTTGTAATGGAATTGGTGAATCTTTAGAAAAATAGAGCAACATGAGAACAACTGAGCTTTTCCCATGGTATCAGTGTGGATGGTATTAAAGTTCAAACCAGTTTTTCTAACCTGGCACTTGCCAAAGAGCTGTGCAGAGCCTTTCTTCCTCTCCCTGTACACTTCTGCCAACTAAAGGATGACATGTATACAGATTTATTAGAAATGGGAGAAGGGGCACCACTTGGATTTTAGCACTCCTATTAGTCCTGGCAAATATGCATGCATTGTTTTCTCATTTGGGCCAGGGCTACACCCATTCCCAGATGGATAAAGCACATTTATCATGTTTCTGTGCCAGGATTACACAATCTGATGTGGTCTACAATATGAGAATAATCAAAGTATAATGATTTTCAGGCACAGTGTATACGTAGCAATTTGTAGGACAAAAATCACTGGACAGATACTTTGTTATTTATTCCATATGTCATTGAATGTAATACTGAAAAGCATCATTCTGTGATTCTGTGATTTGGAACACAGTGCTCAAAAAAGATCACATGCCTCTGAAGATCTACTGAATGTGCCAACTCAATTTCCAATAAAACTTTGTATGAAAAAAATACCAATTTATTAGCGTCAGGGCTAGCATTTTAAAATTAATGCCTAATTAAATTGGTATTTACATATCACATGACTGCCCAGCTGCTTGAAACCAAACAGGATACCTTCTGAAACTTAACTTTGATAATCGCATTTCCCCATACGTGCATGTTTTCATAATAAATGAGAAAAATACCCACTGAGAGTTAGCATAAAATCAATGCATTATAATTACACAATAGGATTAGATAGTAAGCACTTTCACCCAACCAAGCCAGTTTACCATCAGGAAAGCAACAAAGGAATTGCCCTAAAAAGTAAACCAGGCTCAACTGTTATCTTGAATTTTATTATTTGCTCTAAATTTAGAAATATTTTCAAAATCTAATAAACTGAGTTCTTAAAATTTTTCTCAATTCACTGTGAATAATACAAGGGAGAAAAATGGATCTTTTGAATATAATTGAAAACTATGATTATCTAGAATAGAGTGCCTTGATTGAGCATTTCCTTGCTCATTGTACGTCTTTAATCATATTGTCGACGTATTCTAATAACGTCTTCTTTTTCAAAAAAGTAGATGGTAAGATTACTTGTGCTGGTGTCACATCATTTATATCTTCCTCTGCTCTTGCCTGGCTTCTCTAAGAGACAGAATGTCAACCAGCTTCTGCAGTAACAAAACAATATGGTTTCATTTGATTGTCACTGGTGATATTTTTGGCTCATTTTTCATGGCTCTGTCACCCAGATTCATAAAGAAGCTGCTTCTCCTCATTTGGATATTGGTTTTCAGCAGCAATTTTTCATACTTGACTTGACCAATGTGATTTTCACTGCTGCATGCTGACTTTTGTGATGATATGACTATTTGTATCAATTCAGAGGAGTTAAAACACTACCTGAAATTTGACTGCAGACAGTTCTGTGAAAACAGGTTATTCCACTACCAGGAGCATTCAGAAACATTTATATCACCAATTTGTTGTCATCTGTAGGTTTTTTTCCGAATTGAAAAAGAAAGATGGTTAATATTCCTACCTTCCAACTTCCAGCAGCCAAGTTCTGCAGTGCCCCTGCTGCCCCCTCCAGCGTGTCTGGATTTGAGCACTCAGAAAGAAGTGTGAGGTAGGGTTTGACTATTGAAGGGTGCCACAGCATCTGGATTCCTTTGGGTGGTTCTGCACAGTCTGGGAGAGGTCCTACACCATCCCACTGTTGGAAAGTAGAAACCAGATTGTCAGCAAGGAACAGCAAAATACTTGAGAATTGCCTCAGTTGAAATTTTAACATCCATGTGTGCGTGCGTGAAGGCATCTGCCTGCAAGCAGCCATTCTCAATTTTAGCATATCATATGACTCTTCATAGAGAACCCAAATTTCCTACTCAGCACTCCTTACGGAAGAGCTATAGTATTGGCAGAAATCACAGTGTTTTAGCTAGCTGACATAACAATGCACTGCATTTATCTTTTTGGGTGGCAACAGAAGCCCAGTGGATGTGAACGTATCTTAAGAGGCAAATTTAGAACTTGCATGGGAAGAAGAGATTTTCCTTTTTCCCATCCTGCTCAGTTCTCTGCATTCTCTCTCTTTTCATGAGGGAAAAACAACACCATGAACCACTACTGTGAAAAACAAAATCCCTCAAGGCTATGAGCCTCCATCCCCTGAAAGGGCCAAGTGTGACGAGTTTTCCTCAACTGCACAACTTCTTCTGGCTTCACACTTTGTAAGTGCCGGAGGCGTTTGCCCGTACAGCCAGCCAGCCATGAGGACTGAGACTCCGATGTAGTCAGAAGAACCACATCTCGTAAAACAGACTCTCTCTTTTCCATCGCATACAGAGGAGGTTTGCCATGAAAATAACCCTAGTCTGATAGCGAAAATGGGAGATATTAAAACCTGGACAACAAGCAGGTTATTACACAAACTCCACTCTTACCAGACAGAGAAACTTTATTCCGGAGAACTGTGATTCACTTCTCCAGTGGAATGCAGAATACTTGCACCTAAGCATGAAACATCTTAAAAACAGGAAATTCAAGGACTTTTTTGGGATTTTTTTAAACAAAAGTAAGGTGTGGAATGCACTTTTAATGGAATTTTAAATGTGATTTCTATCTATATATGCAATGTATACTTTGCTTTGCTTTGTACTGATAAAGGGATTTGGAAAATTCATAGCCTTAATACCACTGTTAGGAACAAGCCTCGACATTTTAATACAATCTCTTTTCTAACACCTCTGACATGTCCAGATTGCACAATACGATACAAAGTAAACCTTTTCACGCCTTGGGTTATAGCTTACTATGATTATGTAGATAAAAATGTGTATCATAACATTAAACATCTACAAGACATACAAAGATAGCACAAGCCAAATTAATTCCTTGCATAGATCTGCAAAAGTTAATTTAACTATTTTAAAAGTCAAACAACACAACTTGCACTGGAAAAGACCTAGAATCTCTCATTTTCACGAAATATCAATCATCATTTCATTTAAGCTAACTTTAAAAATCTACACCTAGTTTAAGGGACAGTCAATCAAGTCTCATCTAATAAAAACTAACATAATTTAATTTTAACAAGGTTTTGCTAGATTACTACCATTAAGAATGCAAACCTCTATTTTTTTTCTAAATTAAACCAGAACAAACCGCAAAGGTTGAAAGCTCGTGGGACCATTTAATACACATGAGCAGTTACTGAAAACTAGAAAGCTGTTCAGATATGAAACTCACTGCACTGGACAAAAGTTACCAGAATCTAAAAGAACTGAACAGCAATACCCAGTGGCGACTGAGAAACTACAGGAAAATTGCCTTCTAGAGAAACAATCCCTTTAAATGACACTATTGTAGGGCTGTGCCTTTGAATTTTTTAATACTTTTTTCCCTTTAAACCAATATGTTGATTTCACTACATGTGACTCAGTTCTCCTTTTTTCTCCATATAAATCACCATCCTTGCTAGAAATGACTTCTCGTCAGCTCATAAAAAATACATTAAAACCTGCTTCTTATTTTAACTCTCGGAATTCAATCATCTGTGCTGGCAGAATTTTTTTGAAAACAAATGAGAAACATAATTTACAGGTCATATCTGACCTCACACCAGATTTAGGCTTTCTACCTTAGTAAGTCCACTAATGAATGACTTGTGATGTCAAAGGGCACAAATTCAGGACTTCATCCATCTCCTTCCAATTTGCACAAATAATGGACACATCATGCAATTGAACAGTGTTTGTACACGGTACTTATCATATTATTTCACAGACAAAGTACATATATCAAACATATCAGATTGACCAAATGCATTTTTTGCAGACATGTGGGGATGTAACTTTTTTAAAAACCTCAGGTATTTACAATCCCAAAGACTGCTGAAAATCAGCTGATATAAATAGAGCTGTATATATGTTCATGCTGTGCTGGTACTTATAAAGCACTAGAAAAGATACTTGCAGATAAATTAATATTTAATGTGGTTTTGCCATTCTCCCCAGTAATGAGAAAATGTTTGAAAAAAAATGTGAGACAAATTACTGCATTTCTCTGCCCTTCTTGCTACTCACTTTTAGCACATGATTGTATTAATTTATCACCAACTGTGGGGGAAGATGTTTTTCTCAAGTCACTGTGATGCCTCAGGGTCCTTGTAAGGGTGATGGAAATCTTTGGTACTGCACCCGCATCTGCAGTGAAGGCGCAGTAAATCCAGTGACATTGGATAATGTCCTGCACTGTTCTTCAGATGTTGTGTGCGTGCCCAGAGCAGCTAAGTGACACGCATAAGGAGTGTGTCACTGCCAACCATGCATAACATACATGCTGTACCTATGGCAGCCTCGTCAAGGTTGTGCAATAAAGGGTGACAGAACTGTAGCGTTTTCTGGGAGGTAGAGGGCACAAGCAATCACTACATGGACCGTGATGGAGTGAGTTCAGAGGAGGACCACAAAGAAGATTAGAGGGGTGGAACAACTCTCCTATGAAGAGAGGCTGAGAGAGTTGGAGTTGTTCAGCCTGGAGAAGAGAAGGCTCCAGAAAGATCTTATAGTGGCCTCCCAATACTTAAAGGGAGCCTACAGGAGAGATGGAGAGGGACTCTTTATCAGGGAGTGTTGCAATAGGACAAGGGGTAATGGTTTTAAACTGAAAGAGGGGAGATTTAGATTAGACATTAGGAAGAAATTATTTACTGTGAGGGTGGTGAGACACTGGAACAGGTTGCCCAGAGAAGCTGTGGATGCCCCATCCCTGGAAGTGTTCAAGGCCAGGCTGGATGGGGCTTTGAGCAACCTGGTCTAGTGAGAGGGGTCCCCCCATGGCAGGGGGGTGGAACTCGATGATCTTTAAGGTCCCTTCCAACTCTAACCATTCTGTGATTCTATGACCTGTCATGCACTCCCTGTCCCCCATATTGCAGCTCCTCTCTGCTCCCGCTTGTGTTATCTCAGCTAACCATTCACTGAAAGGCTTAAAGATTTCTTGCATCTTCCACATAGTTGAGACCAGTGCCTGCAGCCCAATGGTTGCAGGGCATGCAGGACTGATACAAGTTAGAAAAGCAGCTTTTGTAAATGAGATTTTCCTGATATTGCCCCATTTATTTTGCACTTCATAAATATAAACATTCATTGCCTAAGCAAAAAAAAATATTTCCCCCAAACTATATTTCAGTCCATTTTCTCAAGTGGTGGCTAAGGCATAACAGAAGTTGCTTAGTAGTTCACATTGCTCAACGTTAATGAAGCAAAGCAGCATGCTAGTGAATTACTGGAACAGTTACTGTATTGCTGCAGACCATCAGGAATGAACAGTAAGGTCTGAGACAGGCTGTGGGTATATTAGGAGCCTCTGAAAAAGAGTACAAGTGCATGCAATTACTCTTCCTAGCTTATGCTAAGGAGGAAAAAAAAGTCATAAACAAATATTCCTTCCAGGCTTCCTTCCTTCAGCTGAAATTACCCACATATATTGTGGCCGAAGCTGACAAACTGCTTGTCGTGTGGGCGAGATACAAATCTCTCATTTCCTGAAATCGGTGCAAAGAAAGGATGAAAGTCAACAAGAATAAAAAGCCGAATACAAAGATCTTTAAGAACAACAGACTTTTTAGAATAAGAATACTCTAATAAAATTTCCAAAGTTTTCACACTACTAAGGAACATTGAGAGGAGAAAAAGATCACTCATCAAGCTGCTCCACTGTGCCACACAACAGATTATCTACCACCTTCTTTCTCATTTTAATGAAAGCAAATCCATGCTTACAGTGTAATTGTTAGGTGGTGAATATAAATGAAGGTGCCCACCAGCACAGAGACTACAGGAGTAGGGTGGGAGAAGGCAGAGCTGCTGTGGTCTAGCAACACGCAGTCCCAACAAAATCAGGCAATTTTCAGAGAGTTTATTGCATAAACAAGAGCAACCTCCCCAATTTGATGCAACAATGTTTACGATTTTGGGAAGGGTGTTCAGAATGCTTCCAAAATATTCCAGTGTTTTGAATCTATATTACCAATCTGAGACACGAATAAATGTAAATTTTACTTCAGATTACATATTACATTCTCAAAATAATTGTCAATGCCTTTATTCAACTTTTTAACATTATTACACTTAGCTAAGAAAAAAAAAATCATTCAATTTGTGCATTTTGTCTTTGCTTAAAACCAGACATCTCTCAAATAAAACAGGATGGAGTTAAATGCAAGGACAACAATTTTTGGCATCTCACTACACCTCCTTCTCCTCACCCCTCTCCTCCCCATAGGAAGCTGAAGCTAATGGGCTTAGCGCTATATTCCACAAATTGACAAATACAAATTATACTTAATAAAACTGTAGGTTTGGCTTCAAAAACAACTTGGTTATACATGATACCAAGAGATTCCTAGTGTATATGAGATGCTTCTGTGTAGGCAAGCAAGAATTTAGAAGTGTTTGCTAAGAAGCTCTGAAAGGAACTGCTCAAGATAGTTGATTTCTTGCTAATCAATACTCGACATAACCACTGTGTGCAAGACAAGGAAGCAACAAGTGGAAATAATACCCTCCCTGAGCAGAACATACTGGCAACACAGTCTTTCATCCCTAATCTCAGTTTAGATTACTAGCTACACATAGAAGCAACCCCCATTTTTCAGTTTCTGTGCTTACTAATTTGGTATGGCTTGGTAGAGTATTGAAATATACTTAG